AACTATATTAATACGCTACGTATATTAGTGATGGAGCAGTTAGACGATAGTAGGCATAGTAGTCCTCTAACTCTATCCCTTCTAAACTCAGCTAGAAACTATACTCTCGAGCGCTATTATATAAATTCCAGGCGAGGATGGCGAAAAAGGGTAAGCGGGAGCCTTAAAAAAATATTCAGTCCTCTTCTTGGTGGCTTGTGCCTTCGGTGTGTAGGGCGCAACTCCTAGCGGACCCTTAAACGCTTCTTTCCACGGAATCCAAGAAGGAGTGAGCCCCTCCGACTCCACGTTGGCGAAAAGCTTGAGCCAGGCTTTCACTTCCCCATCCATCGGAGCCGGAACTTCCTCCGGACGAAGAGGAGCCCGCCCCGGAGGGTTTTCGACAATTTTGCCGGCATTTAATCGACCACTGGGCAAGGTGGCCCAATGAATGACCAAGGCCAACTCAAAGGATTCTTCTTCCTCGGGCTCCTTGGAACGGTCGGGGTCGCTGCGGTTGCGCGATCTACAAGCCCCAGTCAATCTGTCTAGCATCTCTTGATAGAGAAGCTTATCCTCGTCCAGCCATGACTTCGAATCTTCTTGGCGATCCACGACCCACGTGGCCAATTTTTCTCGCTTGCGAAGCCACTTCGAGTCCATTTCTTCAAATTCGGAGATGACCCAAGCCGCCCGTCCGTCGTCCCCCAATTCGTCAGATTCGCACATCGTAGCACTGCGGACGAGCTCACTCATCAACGCCTTCGCCTCCTCAGTGTGACCCGTCGAAAAGGCGTTGAAGGTTGGCTTAGCAAGCAAACGGAACACGTTAATGTCAACTCGGGTAGCAGCTGCCTGATAATTCCGAGGCCAGTCGTTCAGGTATCGCGCCACTCCGTCCATGAATTCCTTGACGCTTCTATGGATGATGTATTTTCTCCCCTCTAGAGCCAGACCCCCACGGCTACCCTTTTCCCCTTAAAAACGTATCATGGCTTCTCTTGGGCGGAGAGCTTCGATCATGGTGGACATCTGTCTTGAAGTAGATGGGAGAAAAAACGTCATCCATAGCTGGTCAGTGAACGAGAGAATTCTTTATGGAACTCGGTGCCGACGGTCGGGTGAAAGTAGCCCTTGTGCAGTTCCCTCACGGCCATAGGCGGCTTCCCCTTCCCCTCCACTTCGCATGCCTTCACAGCTGCATCGTATTTGGACTGAAGATCGTCTTGTTCTCTTTTCTCGCCACCCCTGTGGTGGATGCGATGAACAAGCGAAAGCGAATACCCACTCCCGGGATAGGCGGAGATGACCAGTGACCAAAGCTTTGAGTAGACAGGAGCCATCGTTTTTTGTTCCTACTTCAACTTCTCCAGATTAGAAGTAAAGCTAGAATCATGAAGATTACGATTACTTTGTATAAAGCTAGACAAGGATTAATTGTCCCTAGTACTACAAGAAATGAAATAATTGCAGAACCTGGCTAAGGCTATGGCGCGGGGGCCCATAGACCAGAGGCAAAAAACACACGCACAGAAGAGACAGATCAGAAAGGCAAACGACACTACAAAAGAACAACATATACGAAGGGCGGCGAAGCTGAGAGAGAGTGAGCGCGCACGGGCGCGACGACAGCGCCGCCAAAATTCAGCAGGGGAGCGGAGCCCAGGGCGAGTGAGCCTTTCAGAACTGAAGCAAGGCAAGCGGAGGGGGAGGCGCCTGCAAAGTGAGACCGCCTCAGCCGAAGGGCATGAAGAAGGGGCGAAGGGCAAGGCGAGGATCTTGAAGCAAGTGGGTATCTATGTATAGTATCGAGTTGAAAAAAAGTAAGAAATTGAAGATTCTTGATCTTGATGATGTTATAATTCTTCAATTGTCGAGAAGACTCTTAAGTCGATGCTGACGCTGCGCGTTTTAGGTTTTTTTTTAAGGAGAAGATAAGGATGATAAGTATTTCAAATTCTTCAAACAATGAGCAAGCTCTTGCGTAAGTAAGTAGGAGTAGCTACTTTTAAAAGAGTTTTTTTTGCTCTATTCTCGGAAAACATATTCTATCTTTACTAATGATCGGCAAAAATCGAGGTCTGACGTCAGGGTTTTAAGGGCGAGCAAGGAGAACCACAAGGGGCACAAATCAACGGACCAGGACTCTCAGAGTTTTAAGGGGAAAGCCAGGGAATCCCAGGGTTCCCAGGAAGGGCTAAATCGCGGTCGGGTCAGGGTTTGGCATCTCAGGGTTTGCAAAAAGGGGCACAAAAGTCAGGATCCAGTTCTCAGGGTTTTGCAGGCACAAACGGCGTCAGGGTTCGGCATCTCAGGGTTTGGCATCTCAGGGCTTGGCATCTCAGGGTTTGGCATCTCAGAGTTTGGCATCTCAGGGTTTGGCGTCTCAGGGTTTGGCATCTCAGGGTTTGGCATCTCAGGGTTTGGCATCTCAGGGTTTGGCATCTCAGGGTTTGGCATCTCAAGGTTTGGCATCTCAGGG